ATATATATATATATATATATTATATATATATATATATATATATATATATATATATTGTTTTGCACAATATGAGTATTACATTCTTTTTTCACTATTGTCGACTTAATATCGGTATATTTTTCTTAGTATGTAATATGACAATAACAGTAAAAACTTGCAGAAATCTTTCTGCAAAATTCTCTCTTTACAATAGCAATATACAATTAAAATATATATAGCCATATTGTATATGAAACTTTTATGCAATATATAGTAACTTTCACATAATCATTAAAAGCAAATTTTAAGTGCAACGTATAAAATTGCACAAACTTATACTTGTACTTGCAATTAAATTATGGAAAATAGTACGTTCATGTATTTTGTTCAAATATATATAAATTGGTCATATATTTCAGATAATTTTCTTGTCAAAATACATTGTATTAAAGGGAACCAAGTCACTGAAGATATAATTCTTCATTCTATACTTAGCATCTGCTAAATGCTTGTCTTACATAATATTGCACGAGATATTGTGTATGTGCCGAGTTATAGATAAATATACGATATCGAGAAAGAAAACTATGATTGCACTTAACCCATGATTTCATTAAATAGCAAAGTTGTCTGTTAAATACAAAATTTTGTTATGTCCAATTTATTCTAAAATAATTTATCATCTCTGATGATACTCAGAATTATATAATATGATACAAAATTAAAAAATATAATCTTATTTCGATACATGGTTAACAAGTTTTGTTAACAAGCGTAAAAGTAGCCTATTATTGATTGCTTATGGAGCACATTACGTACTTCTGTTGTGCTTATGCAAAAGTTTAACTACTTTTGGTAGGGCTGTTATCTATTCTTTCTGGATTCACGATTACTTGTATTACATAACCCGGCTGTACTTTAGCTTCTTCTATGTGCATCTTATCACTCAGTAGTTTCCCACCAAAGAACCATCTCTGACGTGAAGGTTCCAAACCTTCTTGACTCTGTGAATATTAAATGCATAATAATTTATTAATATTCTCTGCGCTATTACATAACTAAATGATTAACATTTTATAAACCTGTAACTTTTTCTTAGCGATACCAATAGTGTCTTTGCTATAAACAGGTAGTTTAACTTCTCCTAAAGTAGTCGATAGTCTAAGTCTTAAGGTTTGTTCTGTTCCTCCATCAACTGGTTCTATATAGAATTGATAAAGCGATAAGATAAGCTTGACTTAAAAGTAAAAAGAAAAAAATACTTTATCACAGATATTTTAAAAATTTGTCTTCTTACCTGAACAATCAGCAGGTGAATCTCTTCCACTATCTTCTTTTACGATATTAATTGGATAAGATAAACAATAAATAGGTACTTGATAACGAGTGCCCAACTCGTCATAACATTCAGTTAAGAAACCACTTGGTACAGAAATATTAGCTCCATCTAATATTGCTTGTGCCAACTGATAATCCTGTGCTTCAGCTGCAGTTGCACCTGCTCTCAATGCATCCCAGATTTCTTTACGACCATCAAAGGCTGGTGCAGTGTCCCAAAATTCATCTCTCTTACTTCTTAGTTGACCTTCAGTTAAAGGTACATCCGATCTCCATCTAATTACCTCATGACACAAGAGATGATTTTTTCTTGAATTACCTATTCAAATATGAATAATTACAAATTAATCTTTTGTTTTGTTGTTAAAATACATAATAGCATATAATAATTGCCTATCTAACACTGATATAAAATAACGAGAGTAATGTCATATAAACTAATATGATTTAGTTTTTACTATAAGAACAGGAAGTTACATTGAGTTGAATTTGTTTGAATTAAAATCAACTATACATGCTATATAATCTCCATATCTAATATCGTTGAGCTAATATTGTAATATTATTAAAATTTTAATATAGATAATGGATTCAACTAAACATACATAAATAATAGATTTGTTTTTCGTTTCTGCACTGTTAAACTAGTATAAATTAGAGCGAGAAAAAATATACTTGTCTCACTCTAACTTATTGCACCAGTTCAGCAATACAGGAACAGAAAGCAGACCTAATATATACACTTAGCGGACAGCATACTACGAGTACAAAGACGAAAATAAAGTTCAAGTGAATTTCAAGGTTAGTTGGTATCTGATGCATTTTTTATGCGATAAATATTCGGTCGTAATCTCACCTGAATTTGTTCTTGATGAGTTTTCCGACGTATCATTGATTGAGGCATTTCTTGCCCTGGTTATACCTATGCAGCTTCCCATCCTACGCAATCAAAATAAATAAACATTTCACTGAAATTTAATAACACTTGGCATGCCATTTTCTTCCATTTTATCCATCATCAGGGTTAAGGAATACATAGAAAGAAGCGGAATGTGTCGAGTTGTCGTAACTGATGTTCAAGTCGCGAAAAACCATTGCGACATCTGTGAATATGATTTGACATTATATATAAAGTCTCGGGCATCAACATAGGCCGGTATTCATAAGCTTCTTCTGCTCCTTCTCATACATGACCCGGAATTCTTATTTCATTAGCCAGTCTTATTAGTATATTCGTGTAATTGATGATGTCTTAATTTAGGTAAGGTTCAGATTGTAATTTTGGTGCGTTTTAGGAAGGTTTCCAGTAAAAGGTAAGCTTTGGCATTCTCCGAGAAGGCGATGTCCACAATGGAGCGATTGGGACCTGCTCCGACTTTGTAATGGCTCCTGCACACAGTACGTGGTAATGCTTGCCGCGCGGCAGAAGTTCGCACGACAGCCAATCAATATGTTGTTTTTCCGTAAGAGCTAGAAGGTTATTACGGAAAGCAGCATATTAATTGGCTGTCACGCGAACTTCTGCTGCGTGGCAAGTATTACCGCGTCCTGTGTGCAGGAGCCATAAAGATTAATCCTTAATCTATTACTTTCCTCGATATGGGTGGGGCAATGTAGGAAAATGTGGTCAATACTCTGTGGGTGCTTTCCAATTGCTTATGGCTGCGTTTGGAAACATCACTTGAGTACTCTCCCTCTCTTTTGATCTCACTCTTGTATTTCACTCACTCCAACCGCTATCATCTAGGGGTGCGTTCGAAAACACTGAAAGTCCACGACGGAAAGTGGCTGTGGTGGATGGGCTTGGGTGCGTTCGAAAACACTGAAAGTCCACGACGGAAAGTGGCTGTGGTGGATGGGCTTGGTGGGGTTAGTGGAGTTGGTATCGAGAGGAGTTTTCGAACAGCCATGGAAGAATGCTCAATGTGACATACTACATGTGTGTTGTGCCTACATATGTGTTGTACAAAATGGCTGATCGAAAGCGTATTTCGACATTAGCTATAATTGCTTCTCAGCAAAATAATAATAAATTAATAAATTTAGTAATTAATTAATTAATTAATTTAGTAATTATTAATTTATAATTTAGTTATCTGGAAAGTTAATTGGCTATATATTTCTCGGTCCGAGAACTCGAATCGATTTCTAGCATCGTGGGCACCTAAGGAAATTTATAAACTTATTTATTACTCCTTACCTTTAACATCGTATATATAGACATTTCCCTTATCATCCTTTTGTATATTTTTTTAAATATCCATGCATAAAATATGACGACCCGAGATTAAATTTTCCATTTTTTTTCACAAATTGTTACTGATTCGTGACTTTTAACGTGCCTCGTATCTCGTAAGAAAATTTCAGAACCTATAAAATACAAAAAGCTTAATAAGCTTTATTTATATTTAAAGACAATATTCTGACAATATACATCACTATAGAAATAAACCTAAACCTGGCTAACCTACACTGCTGTATTTAAATTTTTTATCTTACCGTGATGGCTAATGGTTGTACGAATGTTTCGAAGAACAAAAAACCATAAATAATTTAGTAATTTCATACTGTATTGCACTCTTTGCGCACTCTCCACCATCTCCACCGATTCACACCGCGCAAAAGAGAGTGGAGAAAAGTCACACGAGTGGTCCACGGAGTACGGTTTTCGAACGGCCATGGTCGCATGGTCAGTGTGCCCACTAGGGGTTTTCGAACGATCTGAGTGTGACAAAATACACACGGGTGATGTTTTCGAACGCACCCTAGTAGTGTACACACAGTGTGTGTTTTCGAACGCAGCGTAAAGCCCGTATCAGACTACCGACTGCACAGGCCGACCCGACTATCGACTACGACTGCCGACTCTCAATGGACCAATCATAGTGAGGCGCCGACTGACTGGATCGGCCGATTCGCATTTAGGGTGCGATTACATGAGCGTACGGAAATACAGAAATGCGTAAATGCGGAAAAGTAACTAGTAACTAAATGGGATCCGTACGGTTTCGTTCTACTTTTCCGCGGATTTTATGCGGAAATACGGAACAAGCAAAAAGCATAAGATAGTGATACCATACTGTCACCCGAAGCTAACCATCGTAAAGTCACCTGCAATCTTATTCGAGCACTTATTGGACTACAAACTACTCTTTGTTTTTCGATGTGAGGTCCAACGATTGTCAGTAATTCATTGAACATTGTTGATGACATCCGCAGATAGTTAAAATATTTTTCGTTGTCAGACAATAGCATTTCAACGATTAAATTATTACTGGCTCCCTGTAACAATCTTCGTTGTTCAGAAAATATGGGTCTTACCCACATTCTGCGATTTCGTCTATCTTCTAATTTTTTGTAATAATTGTAAATATAAAATAATTTTGTAACTTTTTTCATCGTTATTTCCGTATACTCTTTGGTTGCTTTCGTGCTCGTATTACCAGTGTGATCATAACCACTAACATATAATTTAAAATCATATTTGCAGCAAGCAAAAACGTGGCAATCAAATGTAATAAGCTAAACTTTACAGCTTTTAAATTTTCTTTCACAGATTTGTATATGCGCTTACACAAGGAGTATATATAACGGAGTAAACGCGTTCCGTTGATTTGGTTGTCCTAAATATTACATGGAGCACAATTTGTGCGGAAATACGGAACGGTATAGTGATAAATAAATATTTGTATATATTTAAAAAAAATTATATTTACTTCATTCATTGCAATTTTTATTAATACGCTTCTTTTTTCAACTTATCCATTTAATAAAAACATTTTAATCAATAAATATCGATTACAATTAATGTTTTATAATTCCTCGTTTTGCTTTTCCGTATAAAATATGCTCCATGTAATATTTAGGAGAAAGCTACAGAACAAAAGCGCGGAAATGCGTAAATCTAGTTAAGTCCTAGTAACTTTGTCTTTCGTATTTCCGCATTTCCGTATTTCCGTACGCTCATGTAATCGCACCTTTAGACTTCAGTCTATTTCTCGAGTCGATGACTCGAGTCGTTGCCAATCATATCAGTTCGTATGATAACGCAACTATTTTCTTCTTTCTTCTAATATTTTGAGATTTCTTAAAAGAAAGTTTTATATTTCTTGACATATGTGCCATTATTTCATTGCTTGGTTTACATCGTGCACTTGATACCCGTACTAAATAGTAATTTTCTATTAGATAATCTTAATATCGACGATATATATAAACAATAGTATATTAAGCTGGTATAATACTCATCAACAAAACATATTATATTGATTGAATGCATCGCTGTTGCTTATGCATTGTCGATATTAAGATTATTTAATTGAAAATTACTATTTAGTACGCGTATCAAGTGATGTAAACCAAGCCACTATTACACAGAACTTAACCTAATGACAATGGATGCGTTCAGCGAACTCAACAGTTGCACAACAGTTGAGCAATTCGTTAATGTAATTGGTCTAGATTTAGAGATCTAATAGTAAGAACTAATCGTTGATTGCTCAATGAGCGCTTTTTCCGCGGAACGCGCTTATTTATTGCACTTTTTGTTCTCAAGCAGATGTCACTAGTACGATCAGTCGGCGGCAGACATCGATAAGTGTAATTAACCGACTGGAGTCGGCAGTCGAGTCGGCCTATGTAGTCGGTAGTTTGATACGGGCTTAACATATCTTGACACACATGTACACAAAGCCAGTTTATTGGTCACATATTATCTAAAATATCTTGTAAGATAATATGCAACCAATAAACTGGTTTTGTGTAACACAGTGTACGCAACTGAAAAACACCCTGTATAGGGTGGCCACACTGGCAAGCTGAGTTGTCCACTATGGGTGCTTTCCAATTGCTTAACATATCTTACGACACATATGTACACAGAAATGCACAAAGTGTAATGTTGTGCACGATTCAATTGGAACAAAGTGTGTACTAATATGTACGTATGTCGGTTAGGGTTAGGATTATTTTTCAACTATGCTTATATTTTAGTATTTTTTAATAATAAATAATAAAATTTAAATAATAAAAAAGATATCCATGTCGCAAATGCTAGTCTCTTTTCAAACTGCAACGCTTATTAACTTTAATTGTCACTAGAAAACACTAGTTTACATAGGGTGTTTTCCAATTGCAATATCCCTAGAGACTTTCATGCATACGGCGACACAAGTTGCATTACAATTGTCGTAATCGCCGACACAACACTACACATCCGTACTCAGCTCGAGGGCTACTAGTCGGTTATGTAAACTAGTGTTTTTTTAGTAAAAATTAAAGTTAATAAGCGTAGTGGCTTGCAAAAAGACTAGTATTTGCGATGTGAAGTGGATAATCTTTTTTATTATTTAAATTTTATTATTTATTATTAAAAAATACCAAAATATAAGCACAGTTGAAAAATAATACTAACCCTACCCGACATACGTACATTAGTACACACTTTATTCCTGCTTTTCAACAAGAGACACAAGTCAACACAAACATTGGCTTGGTTTACATCGTGCACTTGATACGCGTACTAAATAGTAACTTTCTATTAGATAATCTTAATATCGATATATATAAACAAAGGTATATTAAGCTGGTATAATATTCATCGACAAAACGTATTGTATTGATAGAATGCGTCGCTGTTGATGTGCATTGTCGATATCAAGATTATCTAATAGAAAGTTACTATTTAGTACGCGTATCAAATGCACGATGTAAACTAAGCCGTTATTCTATCTTTGTTCCGCATTTAGTGAGTAACAAAGATAGGATGGGAGCTTTCCAATTGCTTAACACATCTTGACACGTATGTACACAGAAAGGCACAAAGTGTAACGTTGTGCACGATTCAATTGGAACAAAGTGTGTACTAATGTGTATATATGACGGATAAAATTAGGATTATTTTTCAACTATGCTTATATTTTGGTATTTTTTAATAATAAATAATAAAATCTAAATGATAAAAAAGATATTATCCACTTCACGTCGCAAATGCCAATCTCTTTTCAAGTCACTACGCTTATTAATTTTAATTTTCACTAGAAAACATTAGTTTACACAGCTGACTAGTAGCCATTGAGCTGAGTAC